GTACTTTCTGTGAATGTTAACAAGACTTACCTAAAGCAAGATCAACAAATTGTAAGGGATTGCTGGTAAACTAAGCGTAGCTGCGATAGGGAGACTTTATGAGCCTGCTAGCATGCATCAATCAGCCATGTTTACATTCATCTTACTCCAAACAATACAGTCGGGGGTGGGGGATGAAGGTATTGCTCCCCAAAACAAAATTTCTGCTTTCTGAATGAAAGTTTCCTTTACACCAGCAATTTCTAGCATTGCAGAGCTATTGAAAATCATTAACATTTAGAACTCTTTATCTGTGCTACACTTGCATTTCCTTGGTCATTTTTGGTCCCCTTTTCTTTGGGTGTACAAATTGTATTTCTTAGGCCCCTTCTACACTGCCATATAATCCAGGTTATCAAAGTAGATAATCCACATTATCTACTTTGAACTGAATTATATGAGTCTGCATTCCAATTCAAATCAGGTAATTATGGATTTTATATGGCAGTGTAGAAAAAGAAAGGAAACTTTGTTTTCAGGGCAGATGTCTCTTCATTCCCCTCTTCCCTCACAGCTAGATCTTAGAACATAATGTATGCCACAACCTGAAACATGTTGCAGTTCAACTGATCTTGAAGGCATAGAGATTCATTCATGCTCCATTATGACTGAAGATGTACTAGGCTGACATAAAATGTCATATATTAATTAGCATATTCTCAACATGCTGGATAATTAGAAATAAGATTAATTTAAATTGAAAATCTAGTATTTGGCACCTACAGCATCAAGTTTCATATTTTAGCAACAGGTTTCACTTTACATCAATCAACACTGCAAACCAAGAGTTTAACAATGTCCCAGATGAGCGCCACAGATCATACACAAAAGGTTGGGTGGGAATTGCACTGTGTAGCTCAATAAACTGAGCAAACATAAAGCAGCTTAACCTGCTTTAAACTCTAGGGTGCCAATTTTCTAAATGTAAAGGTGGAGAACAGGATCTGCAAGGGCCATTCACAGGATGCCATGTAAAGACAGACTTCTCTCCATGTTTATTTGTTTTCACTATCCCTACCAGTCAAGATAAACGCAGTTCTAGCTAATTTCTCCCACATTCTTGCAAGAATATATTAAATAAATTTAATCCTAGTAAAGATATCAACATTACCATATGTATTCAAGTGTAAGTCCTGTATAAGCTGAAGGCATGTTTTGTGCTGAATTTTGTATTTTAGTGTAAATTCCATTCCACTGAGAGAGGAAAAGGCCGGTACCACTTTAAGATACAGTTGCCTCTGGCTGCTTCCACTTTCCCACCCAGGGATTCAAATAGGCCAGAAGTGGCATTGCACTGGAGAAAGTAGAGGGAGTCACAGCTTCTTTGGGGTTCTTCCAGAATATATTGAGCTCTTGCTTTTTGCCACTCTATTCAGAGAAGAGGATGGTTTATTTTTTGGTGAGAGTTGAGGTAAACTACTTACATTGACCCATAGATAAGTTGACACAGATTTTTGGGGACAATTTTTAACTTAAGCGTTTGGACTTATACATGAGAGTGCACAGTAGTGTTGGCTAAGAATTTGTTTCCCAATTAGTTTAGAATGTCAGGTATTAGGTGTGGTTTTGGTAAACCAATGTTTATGTAGATCATCTCATAAGCCTTCTTTCCTAAAATTTCAAGAAACTCTATATCTTCTTTAGCATATAATAATTTTGGAGGTTAGCTTTAATCACCTTGTTCCTTAAGAAAATATTTAAGGAGTAAGGGGAAAAAAGAAAAAGTAAGTTGGTTGCGGGCAAAACTACAATTATAGCAAGATTGAGCAAAGACACAAACAATTATAGAAAAGCAGATAGGTATGAAATTGACATTTTGTTGGCTGGAGTTAGACCAGTAGTTCCAACCTTTGGGCTTCCAGATGTTTTGGACTTCAGCTCCCACAGTTCCTAACAGCTGGTAAGCTGGCTGGTATTTTGGCCTCCAAACATCTGGAGGCCCAAAGGTTGGGAACCACTGAGTTAGACACAGTATGCATTACTTTATATACTTGCGTATAAGCCTATATCAAACAGTGGCTTTGGATCAATTGATAGGTCCTGATAAACACTTTCAATAGTGCAGTTAATCTTGGATACATTATGACAATATTTGTAGCATCTTTTGGTGTCTGGATGTGGACAACCAATCATTTATCATTGAAACCACTAACTATATCTGCAGAGACAATGATACCAAGTGCAGATTATAAATGTGTGTTGGAGAACACTACTCATAATGTTAAGTTAGAATTTGAATGGAATATAATTTATTATATTAAATAAGGCATTGAGAAAGTGTCCTATCTTTAAAAACCCCTTTAGACTTAAAACTATATTTGGCACAAAAATATTTTTTGGAAATACTGCACACATTTCTAGTCTTTTAAAAACATTCAACATCCTCATTGATTTTATCCTGTATCAAGACTTTCTGATGAAATGGTTAATCATTGAACAAGTTATTTGAAGTATTTCAGAATGATGCTCCTACATTATAAGGGGAAAAACTTTCTGGCGATTCTTAGACAACTACCTTTACTCCTTTGCTGTTGTTCTGTTCTGATCTCAGTGCAGACAGAGGGCACCTCCTTTCTTGACCATGTATGGACTAAGGCATAGGTCAGTATAATTTAAACTCCATTAGCAGTAGTAAAGTAACTTCTTTAGGGATTTAGGTTATTTATGTCATTTGTGAAGCCACAGGCCCTAGCTGCGAACTTCTCTTTGTTCGCGCAACAAAAACAAGTTGGATAGAGGACTTCATTGCCTTATCACTCACTGCCTGAACTCCCCTTTTGTAAATTAAAGTACAATCTTTATTAGACAAGTATGTTTGTTTTTTTTGTAAACCTCAGTGGGGAAAATTGTTTTTTCAGAGTTGTTCAGCAGTGATAAATATACAGAGCCTCAATCCAGTGTAGTACTAGCTAAATAAAAATCCTTTTTAGAGCATTTATGCTGGATTACATTGTTGCTTACACAACAAAACTACCATCATTGTGCTTACTCTAAAAGTATACAACTAATAGCATAATCGCCTTGTACTAGCAGGAGACATGTTTGGATACAGGCCCATATCTCTTCATCTACTCTACAGGAACACAATTAGCCCTATAATTCGTGAGAAAATAGTCATGCTTTGTATTGCACTCTCAGCATCAATTTCACCTGAAAAAAGCCAGTGAGTTCAAAAGCAGAACAAAATGGATATACATGTTAGCCAGGATAAACCCAATCATGCAGTTTTTTTAAAAACAATACCTCTATAACAATACACACAGCTCTGAAAAATCTCCACTTGGATTTAAGTTTGGTTCTTGAAACATCCCATTTACTAAGAAAAATAAATTTAGTGTTACAAATTTATTTTTTTAAAATGTGGATTTGGCTTCTAACTTGGCATAATCAGTGCCACAATATGTATGTGTAACTATATTGCAAAAAAAAAAAGTCAGGAAATGTTTGCTTCCTGTAGTTTTTGGGGAAGTGTTGCATATATACAGGCAAGGAACTCAAGATAAACCAGAAATGCACAACTTAAGAGGTAGGTAATCTTTCAAATTAATTTGAAGGTGCCAAGAGATGACTTTGTATTTATTAGCTCTCCTTCAAGTGAAAACCTGCGTGTGCACCCATGGTTACCAGTCAGAAGCAATGATTGTCTGGGACCATATTTTGTGTACCTTGCAGTGGCATCAATCAGTGCTGACAGGTTTTTTCCCCCTCTTTCAGCAGGTAGTTGTGAGCAAAGGGCAGAGCTCGTAGGCCATATCAGATTTTGCTGTTTGTACAGGTGGTTCCTGATACTCTCATGGCTCTTGGCAAATGGCAGGAATGATTCAACAGTGTTGCTTGGCCTGAACACTGTTCATTCATTCTCTGTCTCCAGTTAATGACTTCTTTTCTTGCTGGATTCCACCCAAATTTGCTACAACAATGGGTCTTTTTCCCTATTCGAAAAACATTATGAGCTTTGCTTAATGAGAGAATAAGATTTGGTTCACACTGAGAAGCAGATGTGACAGATACTTTCACCCAGGCTGAAGAAGATACTAGATGGACTTGGCTTGAAAGTGAGGGCTGTGGGAAAGTAGAATATATCAAAAGGCACAGGTATAGCTCTGTGAGATTCAGTCATTGAACTGTCACAAACAGGGTTGAAGGTGACACTACAGATTTTGAACCGATAGATACAAGATTTTGGATTTGAGGAAAAAACTCCTAAAGACCCTACCACTCACCATATCGTTGTTCCCCCAATTATTGTCCTGCTGGATTGGATTGCTAGGCCTCAGGGTGATCCCTTAAATATGGATTTGTGGATGGGTTGTTGTATTGTTTCTTCAGTTTTGGTATGTGTGGCCTGACACCAGTTGAGGCTTGATAGAAAGCCAGAATCAGTTTTAAACATCAAGAAGAATAGATTTATCAAATACAGTAGAAACAATCTATAATATTCATTTTTATATCTGCACAAAACTATAGATGGTTCTCACTTCTTGAACTCCAAAATCAATTTCAGACCGTATCTGAATCTCATAGGATTTTGTTACATTCTGTTTCCCCACAGTCCCACATCATAGTCTCCCTAAACCATGGTTGGCTGCCTTCAAGCCAAGTCTTCTTATTGCCCCCTTCCATTGAAAGAAGACTTGTGAAATGTGTGTTTGTGTATTTGCCTTCATGTTGCCTGCTGACATATCAATTAACTATCATTTATCTATTTATTCTTCAAAGTAGTAAGGCAACTAAAAGGGATAGGTTCTCACCCTAGGGGTGAGAAAAGTGGCATAGAAATACTGTAAATAAATGCAAATAAATAAAATGTATGTATATCTATATGTGTGTTTGTGAACGAAAGATTTTAAATTTTCAAAAAGAGAAAAAAGTTTTGTCAGGTTCATTTTTTTTTTTTTGCTAGCAGCCTAGGCGGATCAAATTGCAAACTACTAATAAGTGCACATTTTCTTGTATTTCAGCGTTGTGTGGTGCTACGCTTTTTGAAGTTTCTTCCAAACCGAAATAAGGTGAGACAAATAAACCTTGCTTGTTTCCTTTTTTTTTATGGACAAAGATCCACAGTTATACTGCAATGAATCTTAATAACCATGGGTGCTGTAAAGCATGCTAAATTAGGAGGTTGTAGTAATGAAGCACTTTCTCATAAAATTTTATTTTTCACCTTTGTGATCACAAATCCAGTGAGTACTTGCTGCATGTGATACTTTGGTGTCCTGTATTTTTGGTTGATCTGGAAGAACTGGTGCAGCACATTTTAGAACAACTTTCAGGAAAACAGATAAGAACAAATTATTGAAGTTATTTAGATAATCGTGTAAAGTTAGTAATATAGTTATAAGGACTAAGATAGTTGAAGTGTAATTTGTGTTGTCTTTTTTGTTATAGTTTCAATGTGTTGATTACGGACATGAAATATTTTAACTTATTATTGAAATTTTATAACAACAACAGCAACAACAATAATTTACTTCTTACTCGCCTCTCCTCATAGCTCGAGACAGGTTGCAACATAGTTAAAACACATAATCATTGTAAAAATTCTTTAAATACACATCTTAAAATGTATTTTTATGAAAGATACATATTAAAACGTATTTCTCTAAAATTCATATTAAAATACACAGAACAAGGATTAAAACACAAGCCGTGAGTTTAAAATTCATGATTAAAACTGATAGGTCTTGAGATAGATTTTTTTTCATGGAAGCATTGAACAAGCATTTACAGTAGAGTCTCATTTATCCAACATAAACAGGCCGGCAGAATGTTGGATAAGCGAAAATGTTGGATAATAAGAAGGAATTAAGGGAAAGACTATTAAACGTCAGACTGCATTATGATTTTACAAATTAAGCACCAAAATATCATGTTTTACAACAAACTGACAGAAAAAGCAATTCAGTACACAGTAACTGAATTTAGTACCAAAACATCACAATGCATTGAAATAGCTGTGGATCCGGGCAGGAGGCAGACTGTGTTGGATAACACAGAACATTGGATGAGCAAAGGTTGGATAAGCGAGACTCTACTATATGTATAGTTTGTATGGCAGCAGATTTTTCAAAAGCTACTGCTTTGTATATTTTACCCCTAATATTAACTGGAGAGGCATTTGGATTTCTGAGTCTATCTAAGTTGTTGAATTGTACTACTATTGGTCAAAGTTTGCAGTTCAATGGCCCAGAGGTATGATGATAACTTCAGATAAGGCTCATTAAACATTCTTATCTTAAGATATTTTACTGTGCCTTTCCCTAAAAGTATAGCCCATTCTAAATCCTTGCATATTTTAATATGCCTTTTGAAGAACACACAGTGAATAAATAGCATATTTAGTTTATAATCTTCTTTCATAGCCATTTGGTGATGTCATCAGTCAAAAGGGGCTAAACCTGCCAATAAATAGTTAATAAGTCTTTGCTAATGGTTGTAACAATGATTACTTGTTTCTAGACTCTTGTAAAAATATGGTGTGGATATTGCTAGCAAATTAGTTATGCCAATTTAAAGGCCCAGTACAAATACAAGTCATTTGCTGAGTTTATAGAATTTTGAATGTTCTTTGAATTGTTGGCTATCACAGAAGAGTGTTACAATATGGAACCTATAGGTGAATAATACATGTTTATTTTGCTCGGAGATTTTTAGAGGGAAAAATCGTATGGGCCCATTTCAAAGTACAAATTATCTTCTGGTAGGGCTGATTCCCCAGTAGGCAAAATCTTCCTTTCATTCCTTCGCCTACCATTCCTACCTCTTTTTCTCTATCATCCCAGATCACCAACCACTGATGCAAAGACATTCTATTGTCTCCCTGAAGTGTGTGTGCATGCGTGCGTGCGTGTATGCATGCAGGAGTGCGTGCGTGTGTGTGTGTATGCATGCAGGAGTGCATATCTTCCTTAGGCCTCTTGGATCTTTTTGTCTTTGCTTGTTTGCTTCTGCTCTTTTTCTCTTTTTTTACATACCCTTCTCAATTTACTAGGCAGGAGCAGTAGTTTTTTTCCTTTCCCCTTATTTTATGGCATGGTGTACTTCAAAGTATCACCCTGTTACTGCCCACCACCTTCATTTCCTAAGAATATATCAGAATATAATATTCAGTCCATTAAGCATTCATGGGAAATGCAGGTGGCAGCTTCTCTGATGTTCTGGAAAGGATTCTCTTTCTATTAAAGAATAATGGAAGTGGGAAGGTTAACTTGCCCAAACAATCACCAAGAAAGCCATTTAGTGACTACTTAAACCAATAGGTTTAATAGTAAAATTTGTCAGAATTTGGTAAGTCAAATTCCAAATTGGATCAAATTGGAATCAACAATTGAATTTTGGGCTATGTACTTCAATTTATGAAGTGAGATATTTCTCTTTTGTTGTTGTTTTGCCTGCTTGTATTTCGGATACAGTCTGTGATCAGTAGAAAACAGACTGAGGTAAAAGCCAGTCTTTTACTTGTAACAATTAGCATATGTAGGTTATTTCCTTTGGTTTCTTCTAGTAGTTTCAAATAATGTTATCTTGGCCTTTCAGTTCAAGCTGTAGCTGTTTGTTTTCAATTTTCAATTTCCTAAGGCAAAATGATTTGCCATTACTTTCCTCTGAGACTGAGGAAAGTAACTTACCAAAGATCACTTAGTGGATCTTTGGTAAGTGTGACTTACCAAAGATCACTTAGTGGATTTACATGGCTGAAGGGCATTTCAGACCCTAATGACCTGGAATCCTAGTACAGTTCTTAAACATGTAGGCCACACTTGAAGTGTATCTACATACAAAGGACAGTGTGTGTAACGTCATGGAAAATTACCTTCAGACTGAGTTGCTTTACAAAATGAAGCATACAATTCTAGATTACAATTTACTACTACACATTAGCTATGCACCATATGTGGGCTGCTATTTAACTTTTCATCAGTCTTGTGACCAATTGAAATGATATGTTGGATTTTTAAATTATTGATCCCAGGCCCTAAAATGTTATGCTTAATATACAGCATGCCTATTTGAAATGATGATTTCTTGTTTTAATCAGACATGTTTGAGGGAATGTGAATTTAGCCTTCTGGCTAGTTAAGGCACCACTGGCACTGGGCTTGCAATCTAAAAAGCTACACTACAATCATAACTTTCTTTTGTTGACTGCATAAGTTGCCTCTGTATTAAAATCTGTATTTTCAGCTAGTTTTTTTTTCCTTTTTGGTATATGGAGACTTATTTTTAAAAACATTTTGTGCTTGAATGTTTTGTGTTTGCTTTCTTGATAATGTTTTTATGTGTGTGTGTGGGGCCCATGGTCTTTTTTGTGTCCTCATGACCTATTGGAGGTCTAATTTTATTCTATTTTGCTTTAAAATGCTTCCAATTAACTTCTAAAGGTCTACAGATCATTTAAACCACACTATAAGCCATTTAGACCATGGGAAAGCTTTTTAAAAAACACAAAGTGAATTCTCGCTTTCTGTTGTTTCAATGAAGGCTTCTGTGGAGTCAAAAGCTCTAATCCAAATCATTTTGCCATGTAACTTAAAGCAAAGATAGGCAACTGGGTGACTTTTGTAAATAAATATCAGAAAGGTTTTTGCTTCAAATAATCATTAAAGGGCATAAGGGCATTTTCATCATGTTTTGTGCCCTCATAGATAATTTTCAGCCCTTCTTTATCATCTTTGCGCAGAAGTGGGTAAAATGAGCAGTGCAGCCTCCTAAAGTCTCCTGTTTAGTTTATGTTGGTTAAAATTGTTCTTCATTTAAAATATCGTATTCCCCCCCCCCTTTTTGCATTACAAATGAGATATGTGCTGTTTGCATATGTTTTTTTCCAGTTAGTTCACACAAACACTCTCAATTCATTTGCCACTGGCCCAGCTCATCTGTCGAATGTTAAATCACAATGCATCTAAAATTTTGCCCATGCCTGGTCTATATACATTATATATAATGTAATATATAAACATTTCTTGAAGTTCCACGATAAACTTTTGTCTCAAAAAGGGCTCCACAGCTGAAAAAGTTTGAGAACCTTTGCACTAAAGACATGAGTAGTAATGCAAATAGTCTCATTTGCTAATAGGTACTATTGTTTGGTTTTATGTTTTCCTTGAAGGTTTATTGAGGTGTTTGTGGACTTTGTGCATTTTAAGTAAACTTCTTTTGCAGTGGTTGACAACTCTGTGTTTGCAAAGCAGTTGGGTTTGACAGTTATCTGCTAGGGGCTGTAATAATAATAATAATAAAACTTTATATTCCGCCCTATCTCTGTTCTACAAACAATTTATAATTTTCTTTTCAGACACCTGAAGAAATCTTTCACCATCTTCAGAATATAGTTTACTTTGGCAAACACATAATGAAGCAGTTTTTTGGAGAAAAATACATCCATCATGGGGTAACTCTTTTGTTTTATTTTGGATATGCATCACATTTTTGTAAAATTCTCTAGACCAGTGTTTCTAAAACTCAGCTCCTCCAGGTGTTTTGGACTTCAGCTCCAAAAAATCCCAGCCATCTTACCAGCTGTTAGGAATTGTGGGAGCTGAAGTCCAAAACATCTGGAGAAGCAGAGTTTGAGAAAAATTATAGACAAATGGGGTGATTTGGATTTCGGAGCAAGTGTTACCTAACTTGTCTTCAGGATAGACATATGGAGCAATTTCGGAACAAGCGTTACCTAACTTGTCTTCAGGATACACACATGTGGTGTGTGAAGTTTCCATTATAATCTGTGTTTGGATTTGCAGTACAGAGCTATAGAGTAGTAGCAGGAGAGTAAAAGTTTCCCTACCCTTAAACTGAATGTGGTGTTATTAGAAGTTGAAACAATGAATTTATTACAGATTATTCTTCAGTTGAGAGGAAAAGTGTAGAAGGAGATAGTAAACCATAAGCAGTTTATTAAAACACACTGTTCTTGTGTGGGTTTTAAAGTGTGTTGTTAACAGAATTGGGTGGGAGGTGAGGAAGAACCTATTAAGATGTAGGCACTGCTAACATGCAGTCAAAATTGAATACTTACGAAAACAAGTGTGTGAGAACATTATGGACCAGGAAGCACTGAATTCAAAAGAGAAACCAAAGGGACAGACTAACCTGATGTTATCTCTTACATAAAAGTAACTATTATGTGAAAGAGAATATTCTGGTTACTTCTCTGACTTGACATATGTACATACTGTACATGGATGGATGGAAGATGGATGCGAAGAACATGATTTGATAAATAGAAAAGATCTCAGATCATTTGTGTCTAATGTAGAAGGCAGGGTCTTTGGATTTAAATACCACAAAACTATTCTGGTTCTATTTTAGATATTTTACAGTTCATGTGTAAAGAAAATGAAAAAAATCATTTGAGCTCCTGAGATCTTCATCAGTTGTCATCATGTAAATCTAAACAGGAAAGAATTGCTGAAAGCTTGCACAAATGTTCAGCAATAATTCAAAATGTCTTAAGATGTGTTCACCGTTGCCTAAGAAGGCCATCTCCTTTACTGGAAAGCATTCACAATTTTGCTTAAGAACAAGAACAGGTATATGGGAGCCTTCTCTTCTAATCTTGTTCTTGATACAAAAAGTTGAATTTCATGATTCATGGTGCTGCCTGCTCTAGACTGATAAACTTAAGGATAAACATGTTTTTTCAATTTCATATTCAGTTGCATAAGGCGTATGGTTTCTGAAAATAGGAAGTGGAGTTAAATAAAATAATTGGATCAGATCACTGAAAATGTGGCATAATACAGAGTGTCACAAACATTTCATAAAATGCTTAATGACTTTTTGTGGAAGAATTTAGAAGATCATCCAAAAGTTGTGTCCATCCATTGTCTCTCTCTCTCTCTCTCTCCCCCTCCCCCCCGTTCATTGTTGTGTCAGTCTCATTTTTCAGTCAGTTTTACACATTTATCCCATGTTTTCACTCATGTAGGTCTTCATAGCAGCTTTATTTCTAATCAAAGATCTTTGACTTCATTGAAAATAGTACATTGCTGAGTCTATATGTAGCTGTTTATTTTGTATTTTTAGGAGGTTGTACAGCTATCTTTGGACTTTGTGAAACAACTTTGTTTAAAGATCCAGTCAGAGCGACCAGGTAAGAACTAAATTAAGGGTATGTCAACTTTGATAAGCTAGTTGGGGGGGGGGGGGGGAGAGGGACAGCCACCTCCTTTAGGACACTGTTGAAAATCACCACGGAGAGGCTACATTTTTGTCCCAAGTGCACAGGCATAATAACTCTGTCTGGTCTTGAAGGTCACTTGAACGGATTTTTACTTTACTCATTGCTCGAACAGAAAAGAGAGTTTTTCTTCCTGTAATTTTAAAGACTGGTCATAGAACCCTACACCTTGATATATGAAAGAAATTGCTGTACTACATGTCTCCAGCATGGTGCTTTATCTGGAGTTTGCAGTGCTGACTGTTTCTCTCTTTCTTGGAAGAAGAAGAACACATGCCATGCACTGCCTGCAAAATAGGGCTGTGTTATTAAACGACTCTAGGTCTTGGCTCCGTACTCTCCTACTTATTTATTTATTTTGCAAATGCCTAAACTCTCGGCTTTCATTTGCATATCTCTTTATGCATCCAGGATACTGGTAGTCGGTTGCATATAAGCTCTGTCCACTGAATTCTCCTCTTGTTTTCTGAGTGAGCAAAACTAATTTCCATTACAGTACAATTACACAATCGAAAAGATAGGTTATGTTTCTAAATGTATTCCTCATTGTTTAAGAAGCTCAAACAAATGCACTAATAAAGATAAATACACCCATCTATACATACAGAAGCTTTTCAAAGGAGTGTTTATTGTCTGTAGGTCATCTGCTTTCCAAGTTGTATATATTACCTTCCCACCTGTAATTATTCTATTTGATTATGAAAATGCATGAGGTTCAATTTTTCTTAGGTACAAAATGTGGCTGTGATTCTTTATATTTTTTGAAGAAGAGTAGTAGTTATTCCTCTTAATTCTCTTATGCAGTGGAAATTGTTGGTTAATAGTTCAAGGTAGTATTTCTGGAAAGTTATTAAACATCAAGATGGTAGAGAATATACTTTTTTCAAAATAAATTTGTCCTAATTTAAACTTGACCTCGTTAAGGGTTTAAAAAGGAGCCGTACAATGGCCTGTTGTTCAGTGACTAAAACTGGCTCTGTTTGTTTTTGGATGCAAATTAATAGGAAGCCCCAGGCTTTTCTGAAGAAGGAAAACATATACTTAATATATGAATGTCATGTCACTCAGTACTAGCATAATTATAGTTCATGTGATTAATGGAACCTAATTTGTATTTATAAATCTTTTTGAGTAAATGCTTTACTTTTCTTAAACCAAGTATTGAAAAAGGTTCCTGGCACAGATACATTTGTTTCTAGATTTCACTTCTGTTAAGTTGATTCTTTTCTGCATCATGGTGTGGATGCCCTTGTGCTGTGAAACTGATTAGCGGTACTAGGTCTTCTGCACAGACCATGCCATCCTTCTGTTTATCCACCTCACTGTGTAATTGAACTCATTGTGCTTCAGGACCCATGGTAAACTTAAAAGGTAGGATTTTTCAGGGAACTATTTCAGAGCCAATTCGCAAGAAGGCAGTTTTTAAAAATAAAAGGTTAGTGTGAAGATGCTGGTATACTTGGCACATTGTTGCAATAAATCATGTCATGTTTGTTCGGTAAGGATTTGTAACACAAAAGCTAAAATGTAATAAAACATTCTGTACAGAAAATCTTTAGCTGGGCCTTCTTTATGGCTTTTTATGTGATGTCTTCAGAAAAGGCACAACAAAGTTATCAGTCTTGAATAGTGAATAACATAGTGGTTTTATGTGTGTTCAACACAATAGTGTTTCTGCATTTGTATTCCACCCTTCCTTCCTCCCTCCAAAGAAACTGGAGCAGCATTTGTAACTTCACAACAATTCCTCTGAAGTCGGTTAGGCAAAGTATGCTGCATATTGAGCAGAGAACATGTAGGTTTACTGTTCAGGTTAAAGGAAGATCAGTCAAGTTGCAACCACTTCTTAGTTAATAAAAAGGAATTGCTCTTGAGATTCCTTATTAAGAAACTCTCTGTTTGATAGGTTCATTTTTTTATTTTGAATATTGAATATCATTAGCCTAAACATTAAGGAGCTTTCTCTGTGGTGATTTAGATATATTTGTAGAAAATGTTTATAATAAATAGTTTAAATAGCTGAGAACTGCCAGGATACATTCTGACCAGGATAGACCAGTGAGAAGTTTGTGAATTCTGTTAGCTTTGGTGGGCCAAAAAGACCGACATAAGTTCTAACAGTCTGAAAATCTTGGTGCTGTTTATTGTGGTTAGGGTCCCTTCCACCCAGCTGTATAAAATCCACATTGAACTGAATTATACAGCACTGTGGACTCAGATAGCCCAATTCAAAGCATATATTGTGGATTATCTGCCTTGATATTTTGGGTTATATGGCTATGTGAAGAGCCCTAGGTCTTTATGCGGTTGTTTTAATTTCAGTTGGATGGCTGAGATGAGGGGACTTGCTATACTCTTTGGGCTGCCCTACGAACTTTTAGGCAGTCCTTTCATGCACATAACTCATTTTCGGAATTGTGGCACAGAATATGACTTGTCATTGTAATTAACAGGCTGTATTCTAGGTACCCAATTATACAGTGCAGAGCTAAAACAGCTTGGCTCTTATATCATTCACTGTCTTTGCCAAAGTAGCTGCAACTTGTGCATATGCCCATGAAATATTTAAAGGAGTAGATCTGCACTTCAGGATTCTTGAGTATACTACTGGAGCTGTAGGTGTAAACCAAACGCTGTTGCCATATGCAGTGTATACTGACATAATTTTGATTTTGAAGAAGATGTGATTGGGTAAGATTTATCTCACTCCAAAACATTTTTGATACCGATTAGTACAATAGTGTGGTGTTGGTTTAAGAGACAGCTTTCTTTCTCTTAAACCATTTTTTCTAGGAAAAATGAGCAAGATCAAATGGAAACAGTTGCATTACTTTCTTGCAGAAGTGACACTTTATATCATTTGCACAAAGAATAGGCCTTTGAGAGTGTTTGTTTTCTGAACTAGAGTTAGTCTTTATGTTAGTATCTTGTTATTTTCATTGGTTTTAGGAATCCTTATTATATAAGAACTTTACAATGGCTTACCAGAGTCCTGAGGTACGCATAATAGCTGGGCGAGTGAATTCCCAGTCTTAATGTGAAACATCGTCATGGCCTGAATCCTACTATTAGTCCCAACTAGAGCAGATTTATGGAATGAGTTGATTTGTAATTCAATACGGTATTTCATCAAGATTACAATGCCATTGATTGTAGGCCATACACTAATTTCAGTACTATCAACCGAAAAAAGCCTTATTTATACATATTAAAAAAGCACCCGCCATTCTAAGACCCACCACATTTTAAAGATTTTATCTGGAGAGACCCTGCTCTTGACCCTACTGACATCGCAAAGATCAATAATTTTATACAGTTGGAATGATATAGTGTGGGTTTCCATTAGTGCTCTCTTTGCTCTTGCATTTTATCATTGAATATAGATTGTAAGAAAGTCTGCGATTTTTGGTGAAACTGTTTCAATATAATAAAGACAGCACAGAATCATCTTTTAATTTAAATCTCATTTTTCTTCCCCAATGGGACCCAAGGTGACTTTAACTTTTTGATCACATCTTAACCTTTCGAGAGTGGGAATTGGTCCATGATATTGCAATGTCAGCATGAATGAGAGTAATTATTTTTCCTTTTATTTCCTTGCAGAGTCTCGTTGTGATAAAGACATGGATGCCCTTAGTGGTTATGCTATGTGCCTTCCTAACCTCACTAGGCTACATTTTGTTGAACATCGTCCAATACTCTGTATAGAGATTAAGGTAGGTTTGCTAGGAACTTCTAGAATGTTTTAAGTGTACACATTAATGTATTGGCATTGTAGCTGTTCTGTGACTCTGATCTCGTTTACCGAATAAACAGAGCTGGGTTAAAACAAAAATAGGAAAGTATTTGTTGTTGCCCATGCCTTCAACTTATTTCTGACTTACGGAGACTCTAAGATGGTTCTCTCATTGGGATTTCTTGGCAAGACTAGTTCAGAGGGGGTTTGCCATTGTTTTCCTCTGAGGTGGAGAGAATGTGTCTTGCCCGAGGTCCCCTGGTGGATTTCTGTGTCTGAGCAGGGATTTGAACCCTGGTCTCCAGAGCTGTGGGATCAGTCATCCCACTATGCCGCACTGACTTCAGTTTGCAAATCATTAGATTCCATAATTGGACTGTTCTCTCCTGTGTGTTGTATCTACCCTTTTTCAAAACTATGTGTAAGAGAAAATTCTAATTGCCCTTGTTTTTTACTCTAATAAAGATTTTGGCTCTCATATTATCAGTTCAGATGGTCAGAGCAAAACCAGAACATAGTGCTTAGCATGCCCACATGCCTCGCTGCTGTGATTAAAAACAAAAGAACCAGGAAGCAGCAGGTCTGCAAATAGTGATTTTGAGTTTGTAAGGGAGACTCCCCTGAATTCTGCTAATTCCTCATATTTGTACATTTCTGTTCACTCTCCAAACCTGGTATTGAGCAACTAAAATAATCAGATATTAGATTTATTACATTAGTTTAACTTGTGCTATATCAATGAGATGTATAAGGTGAGTTTACTATAATAATCCCAAAGCAACAATAGAAGGAAGTCTATTATTTATGCGCATATCAGTGGTGGTAGCAGAAGATTTTGCACGAAAACCAAATATGTTAGGCTTATGTCCTGAAATGTCATGCAAAGGTTGAAGCACTGGAGTCTCACAGAATTAGACTGAAAATGTGTGGCATTATGTGGTATTGTCACTTGCGTAGTTGTAGTTCATGTCTCAAAGGGCCCTTCCACATGGTCCTTTATCCCAGGATCTGATCCCAGATGATTTGCTTTATTTATTTATTTACTTCATTCGTCTTTCTCACCCAAGGGGACTCAAGGTGGCTTACAGCTCTGGCAAGAATTCAGTGCCAGCAAAAACCAACAATATTTATCTATCTATTTATTTATTTCGCATATTTGTATCCCATTCTTCTCACCCCTGAGGGGGGACTCAGGGCGGCTTACAACAGGCAACCATTTGATGCGATCAAACAGATTCACAAATATCAGAAGCAGTTAAAATGGTAATTAAAACATTACAATATTAAAACATTTGTTTAAAATAAACAGTAAAACGTGTCTCCACAGTTAAAACAATTAACAGTTAATCAATAAAACACATACAGTATACAAATTAAAAACATATAAAGTGCATAATTCCATTCATCTGAGATCCTTGCTCATAATCCTTAGTTCAGACTGTGTCTAAACCCATAGTAACTTATTCTTTGAGCGCTTGTGTGCAAAGCCAGGTACCTTTTTTTTGAAAGCCAGAAGGGATGGAGCCTGCCTGGTGTCACTGGGGAGGGAGTTCCACAGCCGAGGAGATGCCACTGAGAAGGCCCTTGCGAAGAAGTTGGGACTGAGAACAGGGCCTCCCCAGATGATCTTAAAGTTCTAGTAGGCTCATAAGAGGAGATTCATTTGGACAGATAAGTTGGACCAGAACAGTTTAGGGCTTTATAGGTCAAGACTAGCACTTTAAATTGGGCTCGGTAGCATATCGGCAGCCAGTGGAGCTGACGCAAAACAGAGGAGTTGTAAACTGGAATATCTGAGTCCCCACTGCAAGATAACCTGGGATAAACTGATAATCTTGGATCAGATTGTGGGATAAAGGGCAGTGTGGAAGGGCCCTAAGTGTCAGCCACTTGCTAAACCTGGACTTTTTTTCCAAACAAATAACCTCCTGGTGTGTGAGAGTTAAATGTATTATATTAAGTATATAAGACATCTTTATGCATTTCTTTACTTACTTTTTCCTACAGCCCAAATGTGGGTTTCTCCCTTTTTCAAGCCATGTTTCCCAAGAGATAAAATACAAAGTGTGTCGGTATTGCATGCATCAGCATCTAAAGGTAATGTCCTGTCAACTGTATGATGTGTGTATTTTGTTTGTAGTGCACCAGGGTAGAATTAATGTTTCATCTTGGCTACAATTCAAAAAGCAACTGATCAATTAAAAACTTGTAGAATTGTGTCTGTTGCTTGCTTTAAGGAGACAACACTTGCTTATAATGTTATAAAGAGCACATTTCATTAGAATCCGCTTTACTTTATGGAAAATCCTTTAACTGAACATTTTGTTTGGTAAATTATATTGATTAGTCTCTTTCTGTAACTCATTACAATAAAATAGAACTTTGCAGTGGATTTGTTTCAAGGGGTCAGGGATCTGTTACAATCTGCTCCCAAGGAGAGTGGTCTTAAGAGGGGACCTTACATGGCTATAAACTATATTTAGTCATAATCTTAGATTATATAACATACTTATATGCTTGATGTCCATAAAAATTCTGGAAATCACTTGAACTAGTAACAGACTTGTTCTAGAAATAAATGGGTGTGTGGTGGGACTTTCCCTTGAACTCATTTATAATTATTCTGTGTTAATAGGTAGCAAAAGGAAAGTGGAAACGGCTCAGTAAATATTGTCCTCTAGATCTCTTCTCAGGGTAAGAATCCATTTAAAAACAATCTTTTGCACATCTTATATTTAACTTTTATTTCCACAGTTTAGCACTATATATAATACCATTATTGAAGGATATTCTAGTGAAAGCTGTTATAGATCCTATTTGACACTCTGCTGTTTTTACCTTGAAAATGTTCCCTCTTTTAGAAAGTTTAGCTGCATATGATGGGTCTGCCACGCAGTATGAAAATGAATTAAAAGTATGCAGTTAAAAGAACAGTTATGACCGGCTGGGATGGCTTCATTAATGGGTTTGTAAAGAAGTGATCTTGGGGATGGAAATTAGGGACATAGATTTGGATATGAGTAGATCCAAAGGAATAGAATGTATTAGTATTAATGTAGTGATATTTTTCAAATTTAAATATTCAAGTATTGTTTTCTTTTTCAGAAATAAACAGCGAATGCACTTTGCCTTGGGAAGCCTACTACAGGAGTCACAGAATAACTTAAAAATATTTAAGGTAAGTTGCATTCAAAGTTATCTTTTTTGTCTCACTACATACATATTTCTGTTCAGCCATGCAGTTGACTTTGTCATCTGCCAGTCACACAAACTTGAATACATCCGACACTTAATTCAAAGACCAATGTTAATTTAGCTTATAAATTGTCAAGTCCTTGTAATCATGGGACCAACAAATTGCACTATGTAACCCAATTTTTATTCCTGGTTTATAAATGTCGTTTCCTAATTGGTTCTACTGCAACATGAAAAAAGTTTATTAAACTGCAAAAATGATAGTTTTTTGTGGGACATTCTGCAACACATGTTGCTATAGTTTTTTCAGTGAATCTCACTGAGTCTCAATCAATTTAACATAGTTTGTGGCCACAAAAATGAAGTTTCTGGAGTATTGCAACTACTTTCAAAGTAAATACAGCACAGTTAAACAGGACATAACATTTTCAAACCAGGAACAGGTTTTTTGTTCAAATTTTGTTACATAGTGTATTTTTCTTGTTAGTGTTTCTTAAAATATTGCTTACTATGAAAGAGAGCCGAACCCCTTGTATGTCCTTTAGAATGCTAATTTTCTTGGGGAAAAAAATATAAATATGAGATTTTTCTAGACTATTTTATTGTAGTTTAACAAAGGGGCTTTATGCAGATGTATAAAACACATTATTTGTAATAAATCTTTTTAATACAATTAATTAGAAGAACATCTTCATAAGAAGCTTATGATTTTACAAAGGATTTACAGCTGACATGGGAAAACTTCAGCCCTCCAGGTGTTTGAACACCCGATGTTAGGAATTGTGGGAGTTGAAGTTCAAAACACTTGGAGGACCAAAGTTTGCCCATGCCTGATCTACAGTAATAGAAAATAAGCATGTTATATGTTAATCAAAACCAAAGCTCAGCATTTAGGTGGCTGAGCAGGATGCGATGCTTAGATTTCTCCATGTAAATCAGCCTTCCTTACACTGTAAGCCATAAGAAAATGCAATGTCTGGTACTCAAGCAGTGAATTGAAATAGAATATTAATAGAATTATTTTTTTATCTTCTTGTGGTTATAGAATGGTGAATTAATTTATGGTTGTAAAGATAATGAGGATTCTCTGTCAGACCTGAATGAACTTGCTCACCACCTGAAGCCTTTCTTCTTCCCCGCCAACGGCCTGGTCAGTGGGCCACATTGTACAAGGACTGTCCTGAAGGAGTTGATCCACGTCATCACCCTGGCTTTGCTGAGTAGTACAGACCTCTGCAAAGCAGGCGACATGAAGATTGTCCCCTCGTCACAAGGAAGGAGCTACTGTGAAGCCAGTGCTTTCAGTAAAGAGCTAGTAAGGAATGGTAAGAACCTTCGGGCCTTGCTCTGCTTTCCTTAGAAATCAAGTATAATGTGATATAAATGGCTGTTTGTGAATGTATTTGGAGGCAACAGTGGTTTGCAAACCATCCCTACATTGTTCCGGCCTCTGCTCAAATCCACAAACGTGAAACCTGCAAACTGTAGTGAAAAAAAATGTCATGCTATGACCTTACACTTGCTTTTACTCATTAAAAAAGCCTTTATGCTTTATAACCTAATTATTACCTTTTTTTTTACATTGTTCATCATGCAGATATTGTGCAAATCTTATCTTTACAGGTGCATAAGTGCATATTATTAAATCAATAAAATAACAAAAAATGTCTTATGCTGCTGGAATAACAGTATGTGATAAATCATATATGTCTAAGTTTCCCCTTGACATCAAGTCTAGCTGTGTCCGACTCTGGGGGGTGGTCCTCATCTCCATTTCTAAGCCAAAAAGCCGGCGTTGCCTGTAGACACCTCCTAGGTCATGTGCCTGGCATGACTGCATGGAGTGCCATTATCTTCCTGTAGAAGCGGTATCTATTGATCTACTCACATTTGCATGTTTTTGAATTGCTAGGTTGGCAGCAGCTGGGACTAACAGTGGGACCTCACCCCACTGTTACTCTCCGGATTCAAACCTTCAACATTGTAGTCAGCAAGTTCAGCGGTTTAATCCATTGCACCACCTGGGGCAGCTAAAATAGCCAAAGCCTGCTAAAATAATAGGGCCTATAGGAATCCAGTAGCACCTTTGAGACTAGTTTGGAAAAAAAATTATTGAGTAGGTTTTAGGGAGTACACTGCTTGCAACTGACAAAACAGATTAGGATTAATTTTAGTTTATGCGATTGGATTATTTTATGTTTCTTTATTCTAAAGCAGTGTAAATTATGCTTCTCAGATTGGAATAATCACCATAGATCTTCCTCTGGTATAGGGAACACTGAAAGTTCTCACATCACTTTTGTCCCACCTTTCAGACTAGAGTTGAGCATTGATTTACAGTCCGTCTTCATTTAACTCTATTACTGTTTTGAGATGTATGATTGTGAAACAAGGAATTCAGATAGTAATTCTTTCGTTATTTTTTTATCAGAGATGTTCATGTGTTTTGTAAGAACACACTTGAAATTATATTTTCCTTTTAGGTAAAAATAAGATGGAGACTTCTGGCTTGCCAAGAGACTGTCTCCTCTACAAAACGCTCCAGGCTCAGATGCTGGATATGCTGGATATTGAAGGTGTTTATCCCTTGTACAACAGAGTAGAGCAATACTTGGAAGAGTTTCCCAGTGAAAGGTAACATTGCATCGTCTGTTTTCAGAGTGGGGCTGATAACTCTTCAATGGAGTTGTATTGAGTATCCTGAAGCATTACTTCAGCCCAGTATTAAAAAGGCAGTATTGAATCCCCATCTATAATGGACAGATATCAGCCAGTATCCCACCTTTCTGTTTGGGGGCAAGATATTGAAGCGTATGGCAGCTTCTCAACACCAAGGATTCCTGGATGAGGTTGATTGTCTAGATTAGGCATGGGCAATTTTGGTGCCTCAGGTGTTTTAGACTTCAACACCCACAATTCCTAACAGACTACCTACCGGCTGTTTGGAATGGTTGGACTTCAAGTCCAAAACACCTGGAGCGCCAACGTTTGCCCAGGCCTGGTATGACCCATTTTAATTTGGGTTCCTGGCTATGGAACAGGCCTGGCTATGGAACAGAGACAGCTTTGGTTGCCTTGGTAGATGACTTCCACAGAGAGCTAGACAGGGGGAGTGTGTCCCTCTTGGTTCTCCTGGACCTTTTGATGCCATCAATCATGGTATCCTCCTGGGTTGTTTCACTGGGATGGGACTGGGAGGCACTGTTTTACAGTGGCTCTGGTCCTTCCTGGAGGGCCGCACTCAGAAGGTGGTGTTGGCAGACTCCTGTTCAAACTCCTGGCCATTGTATTGTGGTAATCCTCAAAATTCTGTTTTGTCCCCCATGCTATTTAACATATACATGAAACTTCTGGGAGAGGCTTTGGGGTGTGGTGCCACCTATATGCAGATGACACCCAACTCTACTACTTCTTCTAATCTAAAGCCAAGGAAAGTGCCCTGACCCTAAACTGGTGTCTTTCATCAGTAATGGACTGGATGAGGACAAACAAAATGAAACTTAATCCAGTGAGACTTGCTGTATTTTTGATAGGTCACATCACTAATGCTTAGATTCTGTTTGTTTATGTCTATATCATATAGTAAGTAGCAAGATGTTGCTGTGAAGAATTCTTTTTAGACCATCAGTGGATATATAATTCTTGGAACCCATCATTTATATAATCAAAACATCAGACCCCAGAATCTTGAGGGCAAACCTTCAAAATAGCTGAGTGAGGAATGAATGTGCTCAGTGAACATGGAAGTGCGACTGGCTGGTTGGGGAAGGAACAAATAGAACAGAGTAAATGCAATGGTTGGGTGACTGGAATTGTAAACAAGAGCATTCTGCTTTCTTTTGTAGAAAACCCCAGTTGTCCTTTTAAGTATCAAAAGCTAGAGTTCTATTTTGGATGAATTGCTGATTGCAATTTTAAACTATTCCCACTAGAGGGGAGAGTAGTCTTAGTTGTAAAAAATAAATGTTCATCGAATAGCAAGATGCAAAGACTTGGAAACAAACAAATTTGTCAGAATTGTTTCATAATGCATGAGTGTACTTGATTTGTTTTCTTTATTTTTTTATTAAAGATATTGTTTTTTCTTAGGAATATGCTACAAACCGATGGGCCATATAATGAATCATTTTATGAGAAGCTACTAGACCTCTCAACTGAAGATGATGGAACAGTAGGCTATTCTTTGACAAAGGTATCTGTCTTTAATAAAAACTAAACCAGGAAGCTTTGTAAATTTGAAATAATTAAGATCTTGCTGAAGAGCATGTAAGGCTAGGGTCTAGTGTGGAGCAGAAAGTTCCACATTTTAGATTTTCTACTTTTCTAGATGGACTACTTGTTCCAGCTATAATAATAATAATAACAACAATCATCATCATCATCTTTATTTATATCCCGACCCCTCTCACGAAAGTGGCTTGGGGCGGTTGTACTGTAGGAGGGAAAAAGAAGAGATGCAAGCATGCAACAACTGCATCAAATAACAGAGCTTGGTTTGTGCGGGTTTAATTATATTTATTTACACTTTATTAATAATAGCAAGACCCAATTTGGGAACTAAAATGGACAATGAATGTTCCAATTAAATAAAATCAAATTGAGCTCATAGGAAGCAATATATGGAAGCTGCTGAGAACCAGAACAGACCTCTCATAATCTGCTGATTTTTTAGATTATGGATGCTGGTGAACAAACTTTCAACTCTCTGCAAGCAAAATGTGTGGTAGATGTAGACTCATTCCTCTACGAAGCATCTCTCCCTGTATGATAGTTAGCTCAGGCATCTTTTAGAGGCCTAGGTGGGACATGCTTGTTCAAGCAGCAATCTGTTGGTTGAGAAAGGGACTGGTATCACACACAACAGATTCTGTAGTTTGTATTGTAATGATGATGTTGATAATAAAATATTGACTACTTCTATGCTGCTATATAGCTAGACTGATGTTTTATGGAGGCTTAGGGGATTGCCATATTAAGAAAAGAGAGTTTTGTTAAAGAAAGTCCTGCATAGCTAAAAATGTTTTCTATCAGTGGGTTGTTATAGTTTTTTCGGGCTGTATGTCCATGTTCCAGAAGCATTCTCTCCTGACATTTTGCCTGCATCTATGGCAGGCATCCTCAGAGGTTGTGAGGATGCCTGGAAAAAAAATCATATTAGCATTCCAGAAGATATACAAGAGGTCAGATAAAATTCAGGAAACAGTGAAAAGAAAGATAATCCTCTGGTCCCATCACTACAAGGACATGACAGTTTATAAGTTAAATTCATATTGGCCTGTGAATTGTTAATGTTGGCGTAGTTACCTGGCAAGCATGCTATAGTGGTCTTTGAGCTCTTGACAAATGGCTCTGGAGACCAGAGTTTGAATCTTCTTTCGGCCATGAAAACCCACCAGGCAACACTCTCTCAGGCTCAGAGGATGGCAAAAGCAAACAAATCCTGCCAAGAAAACTCCATAATTGGCCTTAGGGTTTCTATAGTGCAAAAAAGAACATGAAGGCATATAACAAAAATTGATGCATGTCACCATCTGTTATCAATTACCCCTTCTGGCCTCTGCTCGGATCATCAATTACGTTATCCTCCTTATCTTCTTCATAAGTTCCACTAGCATTTTTTTCCTATTCTTTTGGGACTATGCTACAGTAAAACATTACTTCCAGGACAACTCAGTATCTTCTCAATCATTTTTTAACCTTTCAGTCTAATGTACAGACCCACTTACACATTTTCATATAATTCTTTTTTCTTGATGTCTTTGCAAATCCTAACTTTTCCAACCTCAATATAATGAATATTAAATTATACTATCTATCTATCATGCCTGATATAGAGCTTCCTTCACACACAAATACATATAGAAAGAGAGAGAAAGTAGTCAGTAGCAGTATATGAATGGTCACTGAATAACAAAAGTGTTGTGATAATGGAAATGCTGAGCCCTGAAAGCCTTTACATGTGTTTACACTGTAGTATTTCCACATTATATTTTTGCACAGGGTCAAATCTTACTACTGGATGGCAATAATCAGAGGCTGATTTATCTTTGTGAACGACCTGAGGCAGCTTTACAGCCTCGTGCGTTAGATGAACCATGTGTTGATTTTGTTACAGGTTCAGCAGTACAGAGTTGCAATGACGGCGAAGGACTGCTCCATCATGGTTGCCCTTTCACCTTGTCAACAGGATGAATGGTATGATTCTCCAGACCTTTAACACATTTTTATACAGAAAGAGCAATATCACTGTTTCATATTTACTAGACAGTTTATACTTAGATGAATAAGAATAAAAATCAGTGTATTAATCAGATGCAGTATATTCTTCCTCTGATACCAACTGCTTGGATTTGTAGTCCATTTTTTTCTGCTTTGTGAAATTGCAACCCAAGAATTTCTCAAATGATATGTACAATAAACCTAAATATATTATTTGAGCTCTTTTAATGGTAAATGTTATCTTTGGAACCAGAGCCAGAAATAAGATGTAATGAATAGGAAGAAAGTCCTACACCATAAAAATAGTGTAATGTGTTTCAGTGAACTTTGCACCCAAAACTCTATTCAGCCACAGTTCCATTAAGTGGAGGGACATCACCTCTTTCTCTCTCTCCTTTTAAAAAATGGAATAGAAAGAAATTTTATCCATTTACCATTCAAAAATGTCACCGTGAAGTGTTTTTAAATCAAACTGAAATAAATGCTGAGTTTAGTAATCTGAAATAGCTGAAAGAACATGTAAACTAGAGATTCTTTGAGAAATGTTCACATATTTCCTATCAGGGAGAAAGCATCACCTCCTATTCAAGAATTAGTTTCCTTTTTGATGATTAATTTTGCTCTGTCAGACATAATAGAATGTGTAGTCTTCCTTTTTTGAGGAGATGGCCCAGCTTTGAGGGTCACAATCAAATGGCCACTATATCTCCCAGGGATTTGTCACTAATGTTGCCATTTTGAGCCGCAGTTGCAGAGGCATTCCAGTGAGGCAGCGGAATAGATGACATGATGCTAGAGTTGTAATTTGTAAAGCTGATAGAAAGTTACATAAAAGTAACATGTTGCTTTGTATCTGTATTCAGTTTAGCATCTTGACTTAAGTGATGTTCCTGTTTTCTAAATTATGGCATGAAATTTGATGAAACATGTTACTTTGAGTAACATTACTTAAACAGATGACCAAACTCTCAATGTAGTTCATTTACATGGCAGTTTGGGTGGTTTAATAATTTAGGGAGGCTTGGCAAAAATAGAGGAAACTTGTAGGAACATGATCTCCTAAATTCCTTTTTCACCACATTTTGTACTGGAAAAAGCTTAAAACCACAGCTACTTGAGAAGTGCAGCATCAGCTCTAGTTTGCTGTGATTCGGTAATGGCTGGGCTTTTAAAATATGTAATAGAGGGTTGCCCAAACCCCACTGATGTCTGGGTCTGGGGGCAAGAAATAATCACTTCTGTTCTTACTCGCATTACAGTTCGGAGCAGAGGCCAGTGCTTCTCACCTCAAAATCAAGATTCACGTTTTCACTGTCAGTTCTGGACTTAGACCTTAAGCCCTACGAAAGCATTCAGCATCAGTACAAACTGGACGAGAAGATCGTCAACTACTATTTGAAGAACACGCAGGCCAAAGATGACTCAGTGATGTCCAGTCTTTTGAAAGGAAATGAAGACTGCACACTTGTCCTCCACAAGATGTAACTGGCTAGATATTTATTGAACACAGGGAAAGGGGAGAATTAAGTTATGTTGTTTTCTTCTTTTTTTTCTTTCAGTTGTGCTTTACATTTATATGCCTTTCAGAGACATGGATTTGCCACTGAGACCACCTTGACAGAATGAGCTTATTGTAAAACTAGTGTGTGCATTGAGCCTACGGCCAAGAGCAAAGGGGTTGCTGTGAAAGTGGTTAAGTTTGAATCAAGTGGTTGCTCTATAAATTTTTAAAAAGAAGTGCTTGCATTGAAGCCTTTTCAGTGTCGGAAGCAGCATTCGCTACAAGGTCTGCAAAGAGATGTAATTCTGTGAACAATGTGAATTCTTGCCAATGAAGGGTAAAACGTGGACTAGCTCACATTAAAAACCTTTTATTCATAAAGTACTGCTTGTGTAGCAGCTTCAGTGTGAACAGAAACCTAGTTTTCATCATCTCGTGAAAAGACTACACTTTGGTGTTGCTCTTCAAATTGGTTAGAGAAATGCAAGTAAACATTTAAAACACTGATTTAAGACTATAGAGAAAAAACGCCTTCTGTCAATTACTGATTATTAAAGCTATCAAAATATATTGTTTTTTCTTAAAATAGGAACTGCTTAAAAAGAAGCCTGTGGCCTAATTCAGTCTCAGACAAACCCTTTCTAACAATCAAGTGCTAGCGCCATTATGCTCAGCTGTTTTTCAGTAACGTGTAGGTTTCATAGAAAAGATATCCATTGTGCCTCGCTGATATTGGGATATTTTCCTATGTAAGCAATCTATTTGAAAGCTTAACTTGAGGCAGCTTCTCAATCTGAAATTACTTGCTTTACATTTTCCTGATGGGTAGGTTTTATTTTTCTATTCATATTTTGGTTAATTCCCCTTCAGGTAGTTTTGCTTTATAAGGCTTGCAAACATAATAGCGATTGAGGTTTTCCAACTTCAACTCTCTGAATTAGAAACTTGCCTCTCATTTATCTTGGTATTATCTTCAGCAAAGGGGCATTTTCCTTAGAAGTGCCTGTGTGTGGTTTGTTACTACCCTTTGCCATGCCTTGTATACAAAAATAGGACAATAGCAGAAAAAATATGCCTTAGGTTTGGCACAACATTTTTTTTCATTATCATGTACCACGTCAGTGGGTTTAACTTGTGGAGCTGTAGGAATGTCTCTCTGCTTCGGCAGGCAGCACAATGATGTCTCTGGATTTGAAACTCTGGGGATACGTAACTCTTATTGCAGAAATGGTCCTGTGGGCTGCCTGGTGGCAAGATATCCTTCACATGAGCCTCATACCGTAGAAGCAGGGGAAGGCCTCAGATGTTAGGTGGAGGTGCTTCAGCTTAAAGCTGCTTCATTCAGAAATGGCGTGCATGGATCCAGAGCTGAGTTTCTCCCCCAGACGGCAGGCTCCCCATCTGGCTGCAGGAGGAAGAGGCCTGGTTTACACAGTCATTCTCTTGCCACTCTAACTTAGCTGCTACAGCAGGCATGGGCCAACGTCAGCCCTCCAGGTGTTTTGGATTTCAACTCCCACAATTCTGTTAGGAATGGTGAGAGTTGAAGTCCAAAACACCTGGAGAGCTGACGTCGGCCCATGTCTGTGCTATAGTAACTCTAATTGTAAGATTATGAAGATATATTACTTTAATATTTATTCTTACGTCAGTTACAACCAAATTCTAATTTTATGGGAATCTAATTATGCTTCTGCCCCGTTCGTATTCTAAAACAGTTTGGTGGCATCTGTCCTGCATTGTTATGTGTGGCCATGGGGAAGGTTCAATGTCACAGGGTGTCAGGTAGTCCAAGCATCGGTCTCTGAAATAAGACTTGATTATTCTTGGTAGTTTACAGAATTACAGATTTCAATTTACAGAATTTCATAAACCTGGTATGCCTACTGATTGATCACATTTGTATTTAAATGAGCAAGCAAATGTGAAAGTTGCTGTGGTGCTGCGGTGGTGGTGTTCAGGGTTGGTATTTTCCTCAAAGACTGAAGCTTTGGCAGGAAGAACTGCCAGTTCCATTGCTCCGTAAGCAATACAAGGCAATGGAACAAACAACGGCATTAAGGAGCATTTCTGAGTTGGCATGCTTCTGATTAAGTCAGTGGTTCTCAACCTGTGGGTCCCCAGATGTTTTGGCCTTCAACTCCGAGAAATCCTTACAGCTGGTAAACTGGCTGGGATTTCTGGGAGTTGTAGGCCCAAACACCTGGGGACCCACAGGTTGAGAACCACTGGATTAAGTCAAGTTCTACATCATCTGTATCTATGGACACAAAGGAATTTAAAAATGACCTAAAATACTTGGTTTGGGAGTTAGGACCCACCTTTGTAAAACAGCTACAAACTTGGTGTTCTGGTACACTTCAAATCAACTTTTGTGTCAACAGTGGGAGAATATAGGTATTTTTACCTATATGTTGAGAGTTTTGATGCAGATACTATGTCCTAGAAGTGTAGTTAGAAAAAACCTAATTCCTACAGATCTAAATCTGGAAAGGAAATACATACAAAAACCAACGCCTGGATTAAGTTTTTAATTAGGTCATTGCCCTTTCTTCCTGTTTTTTGTATACATTTGTACACTTGTATGTACTTTGTTTTGATCCACTGCAAATTAAAATACCACAATTCAGTTTTATGAGGAAAGTGTAATAGATCTGGTTTTGCCTTCAGTCACTGGTTGTGGAAGAAGTAGTAGTTGTGCTACTGTTGGGATATTTTGTATCTTAAACTTTATTTCATTACACTTCTGGGTACCATTGAAACCATTTGCATATACAACTGTGAACAAAAACTGCCACTTTTTGCAAACTTGAATTGATCGGGTTGATCTGAAGAACTCCTAAGAAATGCTACAGAGGGGTAAAACCACTTTGACTGTGAGGAAGTCAGTTTTTAAATGAAATTCACTCAACTTGTACCTTATTATTTAGCATTTTGTATTTAAATGGCTGTATTTATTTGTCTGACAATTTATATATATGTGCCATAATTGTACAGATAGCATGTTTTATGGATATAGTTTGTAAATGGAAAATAATTTAATGTTTATATTCATTAAAGCTACGGATGCATAACATAACGTCTTCTTGCTCATTTGCCATTGCAAAATGCCGTGATAAGTGTTTCTATGGCATCTTTGATCCCAAGGACATGCAAGAGGCTCCTGAAGCTGCTTGGCGCATCTAAGGCAAACCTGTTCACCTTCTCAACTGCAAGAAGAGAAAAAGCAGGGAGTTCAGTCCGATTCACTTCAAATAGGAATTGTGTAGCAAAGCTAATAGTATAGTAGCCTCAGATTTTGGCTGGTAATGAAGTCCAGTGGTGAATTTAGAAATTTTAGATATTCAGAGATATCCTGCTTGCCCTCTTGTTTGTGAATTAAAACATAACGTCAGGTCCACGCCATGCTGAAAACACAAAATTCCCCCCAGCTGTATGTGTCATGTCTTACCTCAACAACATGGCCATTTACATGTTGGAGGGGTGAGAGATGGCACATATAGCTAATTCCCATAGCAGGACAAGAATGTAATCTGAATACAAGGACTCCCAGAGGTCTGCAGATGTGTCCACCTATAGCAGTGGTTCTCAACCTGTGGATCTCCAGATGTTTTGGCCTTCAACTCCCAGCTGGTAAACTGGCTGGGATTTCTGGTAGTTGTTGGCCAAAACATCTGGGGACACACAGGTTGGGATCCACTGACCTTCAGGAAGACAAATGGACATGTCACCACCGACAACACAAAAATACCTGGATTGGAAGGCCTACAACGCTTACAAAATGAGATTTTTTGGGTAGCACCAGGAGACAGCTATGGAGATGGAGCTACATAATCTACATACATCTCCCTGTGCAGGATTCTCTGTCAAACAATTTCCAACTCTATCATTAAGGCAAATGAGCATTACAAATATAATGTCCACATGGTACCATCACCAGCTACTCTGGTCTGTCTCCAAAAGTCAGGCTTTGAGCTTAATTCTGCAATTAATTCCCTTTTAGTTGTTTTTTGGGACAGAGAGGGGGACACTTTGTGATTCTAGAGTGGTAAACAAGAAACCGAAGTCCCCCCGCAACCACCCATTATATACAGTAGCTGGGAGGTTTATGGGATCTCTTTCACCTGCTAGAGTGGGAAGTAAATGTAAATAAGAGTAATAAATACAAGTAAATAAGAGCACCGCTCCAAAAGGTTTCACTTAATGAAAAAGAATTGTGACTGATGGAAATATTTTTCAGCAAAAGGATCGAAAACCTTGTAAGAGCCAGTTCTGCTATGACTTTATAGCAGTTCGGCTTTATTTTCCCAAGGCACAATGAGGGGTGAAGAAGTCTCTGTTCTTTTAGGGAACAATCCAATACAAAGTTGTGGTGCACAGAGTTTGAGCCAGCAGTATTGCACAGGCCTCTGAGATAAGATACCAGGGTTGGGAATGTGGAAGACAAGTCATAGTTAGTGAGGCCATCTGCTATGAGATCTGCAAGGACAACAAGCCACGATTTACATAAATTGTGGCTTATACTTGTGTGAACGTGCTCAATACATAAGCATACCTGACACTGGTATTTTGTGTAGGAGATCCAAAGCTGGTGTAAGATTTCCTTCTTCATCTACACGTATCTTCCAAACAATCATTAGTTCAAGCCTATAGAAGGCAAAGAATATCACATATTGAAGAGCTAATGCAGCATTCTGTCTGAGGCAAGTGCCATGAAGTTGGCTGCAGCAATGATTTTATCCTAGACTCTTGTCTCAGCGCTATTGAATCAATATGTATGTACACATACAGTCCTCTCACACAAGCACATCCCCCAGCTGTTCTGAATGTGTGTGCCTGAAATAGCTTCCTGACATTCAGCAATTAAAAGGGTTAAGTAAGCATTTAAAAAAATCAGTGATATCTGACAAAACAATACAGGACCAGACTATTATATCAACTGCAGTTCACCTAAGGATAAGGCTATGCAAGTTACTGGAATAGCCAGGATATTGCAAAGTTTTTGATTAACTAAAGGGAAGAGACAAAGAGTCTCAAACATCCAGACTTCTAGCATAAATACCTACTCTAACCACTGGCATATTTTGCCTTCTTATTCCTTGAGGAAAAAAGTTTGCTGGAGACAATGTTGTCTAAAGAGAACCAAGGTAGAAGGAAAACATGGCATCTGTTCTGAACTGTAGAGTGTCTATATAATGCCTTTGGAAAGAATGTGGCCTGAGCTGTGCTCTACCCAAGAGGACCTGAATTTGGCAAGCCATCTGAATTAGATCAAGAAAACACATTTGCTTTGAGCAGTAAAGCCTCCTTCCTGAACCCCTGGGAAACATACAAATGGGGGAATTGCATCACTTATTGCTTTACAAGACTTCTGTATCACCAGCTTTGCTGCCAGTGTAGTCTACAAAAAAACAATAGTATTCCTAGCCTACATATACTCAATAGTATCCCATAAAAGAGAAAATTTCAGGACATGCAGATATCAAAATACATCACAAAAATGCTTTTACCCAGGAAGCTGCTTGTTTCTTAGGAGCATGTAATTGCCAGATGATCCTTCAGGAAGTACAACAACTTCGGGATACTTGCTCTGCCAAAAACAAAAAGAACAATATTTGGTTCTGTCTCCAAAGTAATATACATGTCAGATTAAATAAATGTATGTTACTGGGTTGCTGTGAGTTTTCCAGGCTGTATGGCCATGCTCCAGAAGCATTTTCTCCTGATGTTTCACTTAAATCTGTGGCAGGCATCCTCAGAGGTTTGTGAGCTTTGTTGGAAACTAGGCAAGTGAGGTTTATATACCTGTGGAATGTTCAGGGTGGGAGAAAACTCTTGTGTATTTGAGGCAAGTGTGAATGCTGCAATTGGCCAGCTTGATTAGCATTGAATAGCCTTGCAGCTTCAAAGCCTGGCTGCTTCCTGCCTGAGGGAATCCTTTGTTGGGAGGTGTTATGTATGTTAATGTATTACTATATTGTCAGATAATGATTCTATTTTTTTTACCTCCACTCTTGGACTCCAGGCAGCTTACAAAGTTAAACAAATTAAAGTTCTATCTCATTAATACACACAAAAATTTAAAAATATATGAACTTTAAATACAGCTGGAAGACATTTAAACATATACCCACTAAGGACAGCAATAGCAACAAAACCAGACAATACAGCAGGTTCCTTCTCATCAAGGTTCATGGAATAGAGAGAAGGGCCTTGCTGAAGATCTCAAGATATTGGCAGGTTCATTGCCCTTTCACTTGAAACTCTTTTTTGGGAATCCAGGTTTTCCATGAATATTGATTTGTATCATTTTGCTGAAACTAGTGTCAGAGAGACCAACAGCACATTCACTTGTTGATCCTGCTAAAGGAGACTGAGCCTTAACTGATTCAGTTTTCATCTTTCCCAGAAAAAGGTCTAGTATGCTGGGAATCTACACCAATCCAACAAGTTTAAATGAAAGTTATTTCATTAGAATAAAATGTAAACTTTTGAAATTATACTCATAGTGTTTTTGTTGCAATTTGTTTTAATCTATGATTAGAATCATATTTGGTCCCACAGGGAGAAAAAGAAGGGTTAGCATAAAAAAGATAACAGACAAGAAGAGAGGAACTCGAATCCACATTCAGTGCAAAACCATCAAGTACAACAAAACAGTTTCAATATTATGCTTTAAATTACTAACAAATTTTGTCCTAGCAATATTATGTATGAAAAGGAAGAAAGTCCTTCACAAGTATCACTACAGAAGGCATGTTAAATAAAATATATCCAGAGTTGTCAAATTCAAAGACATCTCTCTGTCCATGATCAGTGCTATATGCCTTGCCACAAAGAAAGGCATATAGCAATTTTAGGAATCACCCTAAAATTGACAGTAGTTGTCAGAGTACTTTTGGGATCTATAGGGAATGAAGGCACCCGATCCTGTCTAATCTTGGAAGCTAAGCAGGGTCAGCCCTGGTTAATGCTTGGCTGGGAGATGGCCAGTGAATACCAGGTGCAGTAAGCTGTGTTTTAGACAAAGGAAGTGACAAAATTACCTCCAAATGTCCCTTGCCTAGGAAAATCCTATGAAACTCCTGTGGTAGTCATACGTTGACAGGCACGCACGCAAGGAATATTACATTTCCCCACAAGTCCCCTATCTACAAGTCTGCAAGATGCACAAATGATAGTTTCCCATTATCAATGTCAGTTGCCTGAGGTCAAGAGTTCGTAATGGGCTCTTACTCCACTACAATCAGATCAACAGCTTCTATATTCCTCTCACTCCAGTAGGATGCCATGCCAATCCCCAGTATCTGTTTTTTTTATAGTGGGAAGAAATCTCTTGTTGCTATGGCATAAGGTCTGTTGCATCTCTTGCTCATATGGACTCCACCAGCAACACTCTCCCTTTTTTCTTTGTTGGGTCAGAATTCTTCAACAGCATCTGTTTCTTTCGCTTGGCATCTCCAAGCCACAAGAATACGTAGGGCCATGTGGTAGCCATTTCTGTACTCCAGATGGAGCTGGAATTGTGCAGAATAATGTGTCTCCTGTGCATTTCAAAGAAAACACCCTCAATAGGTTTTCACCTTTTAATGCTTTGATATGGGAACAGTGATTTAAGTGAAACTGTTTTCATATTTCATAAGCTTTTCTATTTTTTTTAAACAGCTAATGCAAAGCACATGGATGTACTCTGCCAAGAAAAAAATGTAACATGGCCAGAATGCTGAATCAGCTCCTTGGTTATGTACACTTAACTAAGTAACTTCTCCTGGTCTAGCTTCCACAAATGTGATGGAAATGCCATTCAAGTGTGTTTCAATCACTAGCGGAATGGGCCTCAATCTCCTTAACATTTGGGTCTTCTCATTTTATATTGCAAACCACAATCTTATCACAATCCTATAACATTTCAATAGAGTTTAGACAACATATTTCCACTGGGTTTCTCTTTCAACCCCTCATAATTGGCTGGTTGTGGTGGGGAGTTATCATTGTGGGAATGGTGTCAAAATCTTGAGTAACAGAGATTGTGAACACAAAACAGTTACAGGTGAGCAAATTTAAGTAACTGTTTTATATTCACAATCACTCCTTGGTCATGATTTTGACACAACTGCCATTATTGTCATTTATCTTTTCATTCAATTTCTTGTAACTCCCCTCCTGGCAGAATCTTTGAGAATTTTTGGAGGAGTTCCCCATCTTCAAAAAGGGGAGGAAAGAGGGCCCAAACAATTACCACCTACCCAGCTTGAGATCAATAGCAGGAAAACTTCTGGAGCAGATCATTAAAGAGACAATCTGTAAGCACTTAGAAAGTATGACATGCCCATAAAAGGCAATGGCAAACCTCTAAATATATCTTGTCAAGAAAAATCTGTAGTAGGGTGGCATAATATGTTGCAATCCCAGGCAACAGCAGGATTGAAGAGAAACAACCGGAAAAGCTGACATGATACAAGGAAATTTAAAGATCGAACTTCAAAGACTCCGGCACAAGCCAGTAAAGGTGGTCCCAGTGGTAATCGGCACACTGGGTGCAATGCCTAAAGACCTTGGCTTGCACTTAAACACAATCGGTGCTGACAAAATTACCATCTGTCAGCTGCAAAAGGCTACCCTACTAGGATCTGCATGCATTATTCACTGATACATCACATGGCCCTAGACACTTGGGAAGTGTCCAACGTGTGATCCAATACAACAGCCAGCAGAATGATTTTGTTCGCTGTGGACTCATCTTGTTGTGTTTCAAATAATAATAATAATAATAATAATAATAATAATAATAATAATAATATCTTTATTCTTATATCCTGCCACCATCTCCCCAAAGGGACTCTGGACAGCTTGTGTGGGGACCAAGCCCAGCCTAAACAAGGAATTCAAACTTACGTAATTAAAAACATAAAAATAAACAATGTAATTAAAACAATTAGAGCCAGGAAAGTAAAAATATAAAACATATCAATCAACATCAACCCCAGTAACTGGAAAAAGTGGACATGTTGAGATTCAAGATGGCAGGGCAAGGCTTGTGAAAAAACGCAGAACAATAGGGCTGGGGCTGGAAGTAAGGTGCTGGAAAAAACCAAAACAATAGGTTAGGGCTGAACAGACCTGATCAGGAGCTAAACTGCTATTCAAAGACACATTGGAACATCCAAGTTTTCAAGTCTTTATGGCAAGTGTACAGAGTGGAGGCTAATCTAACCAGAAATCTCATCAGACTGAGACTGAATAAGGATTGGGTCTTTGGAGGGAGAATTGCTTCTTAGTGAGCAACAGTTTTTGAAATGCAGGCTGTTTTTGCTTTATAATATAATATATTCTGCTCTAGCTCCCCAAAGGGATTCAGGGCTTTGCTTGGAGTAGATTTCTCAAAGGATTTCCTCAAAGAAAATATATAAAACAAAACTCAGAAGAATTTTCTGAGAGATCCCATTGTGCACACAAATAACAGCCACAGACCTTAATTCAGTAGTTCCGAACTTGTGAGTCCCCAGATGTTTTGGCCTTCAACTCCAGAAATCCTAACAGCTGGTAACTGGCTGGGACTTCTGGAAGTTGTAGACTAAAACACCTGGGGACCCACAAGTTGAGAACCACTACATTAATTGAAAGTTGTAAAAATATGGATGGAAATCCAATGAATCATCACTGAACAACTCCAATGAGTAGTGACCATGCTATTAAAAGAAGGCAAATAGAAGAGATACCACAGCCACTTACTGGTTTCTGAGGTGCTCTGCTAGCATTCTAAACACCCCGGAGGCACCAGATCCTGCCTGATCTCAAAAACTAAGCAAGTTAAGGCTGGTTAGTTCTTGAAAATGAGATCACCACGGAATACCAACATTATGTTCAGGGGAAGGCAAACAATTTATTGAGTTTTCAGCATCTAGAAATTCACTGCTTGTTATATTCATGGGGACACTATAAATTGATAGACAATTTGAAAGCACACATTGCTTATGTTCCCAGAATAAGTTTTACTCTAGCATGGAATCAACTGTGGGAAAGGAAGCAAGCAAGCAAGGAAGGAGTGTTCCCCTTTGTTTTACAATTCAGATGTGGGTCAATTGCTCACAATCTGATAAACCATGTGTGTGTATTTGCATTCAACCTGTCGATTGACTTTTGTTGATCCAAGAGCTTTCTTTAGGCAACAAATCCTCAGAAGTGATTTTGCCAGTTTTTCTGTGAAATACTTATAGACTGCAGCCCTGTTATTCATTGGTGTTCTCCCATCTAAGCACTAACCAGGATTGATCCTGTTTAGCTTCTATGATCAGATGAGAGTTGATGCCTTTGGGACATTTAGTCAAATCCTATAAAGCATACCCAACTAAAAAGAAATCAAAATTCATTTTAAGGGAATTTCAGATGCAATCCACAATTTTCCAAAAATGTGCAGTATTTTTCATAGACTGAGGAAATGGGTTTTTCAATAATATCTTCAAGAGTATAATATCTTCAAAAGACTTTTCTTCACAGAGACCTGGATATATATGATGGGATGCACTGGACCTCTCAGAAGTCCTGTTTTTTTGTTTTTTTTAAAAAAAGTATCGTATTGGTATTTCTTGA